TTTTTTTTTTTTTTTTTTTTTTTTTTTTTTTTTTTTTTTTTTTTGATGAGGAAAGTTAGCATAAATGAGATTGTTTACATTTTTACTACAGACCTAATTTCTCTCTATTTGTGTTGTACTGATGTGGTATTTAAACCCTTGTTAAGAGATAATGTTGCAATAATCTGTTTCTATGCTTGCACTCAATTTCCTGCTGCAGTATCTTGGAAGATTGGTAACAGAATTGGCCACTACTTATAAAACCATCTTCTGGGGCTTGGGGATCAGTCCACTCAAATCTTCGTTTCATTTTAAAAACCTGGACACTACCATTAACTGACAAGATGATGTCAGATGAGATGAAGATAGTAACTTCTCAGGGAGGTTTGCCATGAGAGACCAGCGTGAACTTGTCTTTTGACTTCTACAAACCTGTCCATCTGCCTTTCATTAGCCCTGGCTTAGCAATGGAAAGCGGAAAAGCAGACTTATTCTGATAGTAAGGGAACTACACAGTCCTGATGGTCTAATCTTGACATTTGGGAAGGTTTTTGCATGTGACAACTAGGAGACTCTACCGCATTCAAGTGGATGGGTGAGCAGACAGAATTTAAGTACTATTAGTCACATGTTAATACAGAGTCGAAGTAGTAAAGCATGAAGGGGTAACACACAACAGCCCAATTCTCACAGCTCTAGAGCCACAGTAGGAAACACTGGCACATAGGCATTTACAAAGCACCCATGGAAATAGCAGTATTTAGGTGCTGAGTAAAGTTAGTGCAACATGAAGGAGCTTGCACACCCAGAAAAGCTACATTGATCCCACCAGGAAAAATGACAGACTATATACAAGATATATACTGTGTGAATGATTGCCCCCAAAGAGTACTAGGACAATGAGATGGAAGAGGATGTCAAGGTCAAATTATTATTTTTTTACTACAGCAGCCAGACAGCTCTCAAATGGTTGATTTGAAGAGCTTTAATAGAACAATATCATTAAAACCCAACGGTTGGTGCTCAGGGAACAAAATTGCTGTGTTGCTACCAGTGTCTTGGCAGGTAAATATGAAGGTTCACATTATTAATGACAAGCATTTGCAATGACTGCTTTGTTTCATTTCAGCAAATGCTCCATTTCCAAAGGAACTCTAGTACAGGGATGTGGAATTAAATCAGCATGCATTTTGGGCTCACAAAAACCCGCAGCCTTTAGCGTAGTCACAGTAAGATCAAACAGGGACCTCTTTCTACACTACAATCAGCCAGCTCTTGATGTTGTTGTTTCAAAGACTTTCTCACCGGTGTCTACTTTATTAATACTTAGCATTTGCACTGGGAAGTGGATTCTGGTCCTCACTTGTAAAGGGGCAATACTTGTCTGTATGTCATCAGTGTCACAACCTAGGTCCCACGTTCAGCAGAGGGCTGTTCAGCATGTGCCTAATTTCAAACACGGGCACGCAACCTATTCAACTCAGCAGGATGAGAATGTGTGTCCGACGTGCAGCATGTGGCACAGCAGGGGCTGACACAGCATTGCTAGCTGCATGTTTTTTGGGTTATTTATACCTGTAGGGATAAGTGGGGAGGAAAGGAGGGAGAAAGGAAGCAAGAACGGATACGGCAGGAGAAGGAAAGGAATGAAATCAACACATTACCTGTCAAGGCAGAAGGACTGAGAAAAGTTCATAAAGATTCCCCAGTCAGGTTTGGATATTTTTAATTCTTTTTATAAAAAATATTATTATTATTATTACTACTATTATTGTTATTATATTATATTTTATTTTATGCTATTTTCATTCAAATAACACTATAGGATGCTGAGGCTGTTTGCTAATAGGCATGCAGAAATTTGGCCACTGGAAGAAGACACCAAGAAATAGGAAAGATGGAGTGAACGTCTTATGTGCACAACAGTGTTGTAGAAAAGCTAACTACAGGACGTGGAATAAGCCTTGTTCCATAACAAGTACCTGCTAGTGACAAGTAAGATACTCAAACTAGTATGTGAACGTCTCTCAGGTTGCTGAGTGGGTCCTACTGTGCACAAAACAGGTAGTGACACACTCAGTACCATCAGTGTTACCTGATTAAAGCATATTTGTCAGCAAAACAGACCAGGAGCTTCAATCATCTGCTTCATGACTCCCCTCTGTGCACATCTGTCCTACGTCTAGGAGACAAACAAGTCTTTCTTTCCAAGTTCTGTCTCTACAAGGCTAAGTGCTTACTAAAAGTTATTTGAGAAAGGATTCTGACCCTTTGCGACGTAAAGACATGCATGGTCCCTAGTCAAGCCAGTGAAAGTTGAACATTGTCATTGGCAATTCCTCTGGTTGCAGAATTAAAAGTCTTTTCTCAATCACTCATAGTGTGGAAAGCAAAGGTCACTAGTGCAGGAGTTGACCAGGACAGACAGGGAGGACTTCTCTCTCAGGGTTAAGAAGGCAGTGAATATCCCACTATGTGGTCATAGAATCATAGAATCATGGAATCATAGAATGGTTTGGGTTGGAAGCGACCTTAAAGATCATTATTTCCAACCTCCACCCTCGGGGTGGGGACACTTTTCCCTAGATTACCTTGCTCAGAGCCCCACCCAGCCCAGCCTTAAGCACTTCCAGGCACACGGCATTTACAACTTCTCTGGACAAGATGTGCCAGTGCCTCATCACTCTCCAGCTCCTCTAGCTCCTGGCAGATGCTGAGCACTGTCCTCTGCAGGGCTTTTCTGGTGGGGCTGACTCATGCCTTGTGCCTGTGCCCCAGAAACAAACTCCCACCAAGGTAGTGCCTTCTCCATGCCAAGGATAAGTGTGTTGAATACAAGAGACAAAGGTTGATGCAAAAAACTATGTAACCTACACCTGTGGTAGTTGGCAGAAGAGGTGGAACACAACACCCTCCTTCATATTCATATCGCTCGTGAGGCTGAAGAAGGGAACTGAACCAAGGACAGCAATCCACAATTTAACACTCTCTTACTAGATCAGGAGGGGCCTCTTTGGGAGACATATGCCAGGAGCTTGTTTGCAAGGTACTTCACCACTGACCCCAAAAGCCCTTGGGAGTTTGCTGGGTACACTTCCGAGGGCCCTGCTGAGGCCTAATCTCTGCGTCAAACCCGCTCTGATAAAGAGCAACTCTGGTGGCCAAAAATGATGGAGCGATTTTCGAGCAGACTACAAGCTAATCCCCGGGATCATGATTAATATGTTTATTTTGCTCAGTTAAACAGATTCTAATGCCCAGGGCTGGGTGTAAGGACTGCTAAGAACACAGTCACTAAGCTGCCAGCTTTGGGTCGCCTTTGGTGATCTAGATGGACACCCCTGACTCTCTAAAACCCCTGAGATTCCAGACAGTGAGGAGGTGAGTTTCTTTCCTTTTAATTTATGTTTTTGGTTTTTTACTGATTTGATTTTCTAGAACTAAAAGATGCTCTGGCCTGCCAATAAGCAGTCTTCCTAAATATAAGACCATTGTTCTTTAATTTTTAATTAGTCACCTATGGTCCTAGATATAGACAATGTATTTTCCCTTTGATTGCTCATCTAAACAAATTTTCACATCTAGAAGAAAAATTTTCTTCTCAGTAAGAAGTAGAAGAAAGTGATTTGTGAAAGATGGAAAAAATAGCTGACCTCTACTTGTCCAGATGCTGCCAGGTCCTGCAGTCAGGGTTACCCATAAGATAGGAACTAAAGTGATCTTGGTCTATGGGGCATTTGTTTGCTTTTGGCTCCCAGAAGAAAAATGAAGCTATCTAACCTCACTTAAGAGCCCTTAATAACAGAGCACTCTTGCCACCCACACCAGAAATGTCCTGGCCAAGAAACAGGGTATTTGCTCTTATATGACCATATTTACATGACTTACATGCCAGGTTACATGTCTACTGTGGGTGAGGAGGGTGTCCTTTATGCTCCCAGGCATTTGATTGAAGAAGAGGGAACAAAGCCTGAATCAGCTCTCAGGGAAAGCTTAAAGGAGAGTGATATCAGGACAACCAGACCTCACTAGAGGTCATGAAGTGCAGAGCAGGAAATGTTCTCTTTCTCTTTTTGCTTTCTGCAAAACACCATCCTGCTACTGACATACTCCAGATACCTCTGAAACTTTCCATGCTCTTTGGATACCTTCCCACTCCCAACCATTAGAGTGTGCTGCACACAAGCAGTCACTAATTACATCAGAGGGAATCTGGGCTTAATTCAAATCCCACATGCAATGCCAGGACCTTGCTTCTCAGAGATCTGGGCAAGACAGTATCTCTGCCTTCTCATGGCATCCATTAGTCATTCTTTCTCCATGGCCCCTGATGCCTCTGCACTGTCCTCTCCTGTGCTCCAGGTTCCACACCATCCATTTCCCATTCTCCTCTAGGCTTCATGTATTTATCCATTCCCATCACAACAACAGCCAATTGACTGTAGAGTTACAGGCTCAAGGAATGACACAGGCAGAACTAATCATAATTTGGGGCCTGAAGATAGGTTAAACTACCTCTGGGGGGCTCCACACTTTATCATTTCTTGCCTTATCCTCCCAAGTAAAAATTAAGAAATATATTCCAAAAACCAGAAAAGTCAATTGAAAATTAGGTTTTATGGGAAACTGAATAAGTCAGAAATTTGGTCAACATCCAGAATAATTTCTGGAATATAAGGGAGAAAAGGGTTTTGAAAATAAAGAAAATGGATAGATTTATCCTTTTTTTCAAAATGGCATGTTTTTTCTTTTAAACTGAAAGGAGAGGACTAGATTAACCCCTGAACAGCATTTCCCTGAAATTCAGGAAAATCCAGCAGTGCTTTTGCTTCTCCCTTGATATGTTTTTCTCTGGGAAAAAAAAAAAAATTCTTTGTCTTTCATTTCCTCTCTTTCCTGAGACCATCATCTCACTTTAGATGATAGGATTTCTGGAGTGGAGAGCACACAGCATGTTCACAACATCCTCCGCATTTTCAAACCTCGGAGTCACTGAAATATCTCTTTAGGGTTAAGACCCCAATTTGGTGTAAACACAGAAATTGCACTCAAAGGGCCGATGAGATGCAGGACTTTAGCCCCTGCTCTACACAGACTTTGTCATGTGATCACAGGCAGAAACCGGGCTTTAGTCTGTAAGGGGCACAGTACCATGACTTTTCAATACAGCCAGGAATGTCCAAGCTATCTGCCTGTTATCCCATATGTGGGGTATGATCTGGGGCAAACCAAATGGCAGAGGAACTCCTGCATGGACCAGAAGACTGGTTTATGACAGTGATCCATTTTCCTGAATACAACTGGCTGAAGCTTGTGCACTGCACTTTTGAGCCCAAACTCAAGTAGTTCAAGTGCAAGGGCAACAGTCCTGTGGAAGACAATGTCACTACAGGGTTACACACACTCAAATGGCAGCATGTTGACTCCATGGTAATAATTCATTTAAATGAATGTGTGGGTAGATATGTTTTCATTGATCAAGCACATGACGTGGAGAACAAGCAGCCTTGAAAACATCTAGACAAGCCTGGAAGAGTGCAGCTGTTAGCATTGCAAACTACATTATCACCATATATTTAGATTGTTATTAAGTGAACTTTAAGTAAGGCATCCTCCATTTGTCATTTTCCCCCCTGGTGGATTCAGCTACCAACATTGATTTACTTTTTTTTTTTTTTTTTAATCTGAAAATTTGGCTATTAACTTTTCAAAACTTATTAATCTGTTTTCACTTCAGTGGTAGCAGCTTCCCCCCCACCTTCTACTTAGCTTGTTAAAACTCAGAGTTGATTAAGTATGACACAACAGTAAAATATTACATAAGCTCACATGAAAATTTTTATTTCATTATCGGCACAAAGTGAGTCATCTTGAATATGACACTGGCTTTGGCTCCATTTTCTCTCACTTTTTTGCTCTGGTTTTATATTTAATCACAGCTTTTTTCTCCCTCTCTTTGCGTGTACAATTTTGTTTTTCAGATCCACAGCAGAACGATCCAACTTTGTTCTTACACTATTAATTAACACCACGCTCTAGTTTCCAACATACTTAAATGATGAATAAGGTTAAATTCCAGACAACGTTCTGTACATTGCCATCAATTAACAATTTTCGAGGCAGTGCTTCATTAATAAACACCGATCAGCAGAGCCCTTGTGTGGAGTGCATTGGAGCTGAGAAAATTGTGGAGAGTGTGGTGTGTATGAGCCTGTGCACAAGTGTGTATGTGTGCGTGTGTGAAAAAAAATCAATGCAATATCCTAGGAAACTCATCAGCACATCATCTCCTTAAAGGTTAATTAAGAATTTGAGGAAGAACAGAGGGGCTGAAGCAGAGGTGATGGACATCCGTGTCTCTCCAGATCATTAAGTACTAATTAGGTTTGGAAAGTCTATTGAGCTTCCTTGGTCTCATCAAGCCATGTGATGGTCCCTGGATACCTCAGTGTGAAATGCCATCAGCACTATATCTCCCTTTATGAACAGGATGCACTTCAGTCTCAGGTGTACCTGCTGTCTCTCACCCTGTGCATGTGTATGCCTCCTTTGGTATGTGTTTGATTAAGCTATTTTATATACTGCATAAAAACTGCTTGGAGAATACAGACAATTTCAGAATCATGTGTAATGCAGCATTTTTGCTAGAAGGCTAATGAGGAAAAAAAAAAAAAAAAAGGGGAGGGGAGTAAAAAAAAGGCAAGAGAAGTTCCTGTTAGATATAAAGTCAGAATGAGCAGGGAAAAAACTTCCAAGTTCATATAAACCCTTTTGCTGTGCTAGAAGTTCATTTAGGGAGGACTTCCAGACTGGCTTCCTTTTGCTTATGTTTCCTGAGCTCAAGATAGAGGTGGGGCAAGACAGGAGCTCCACAGACAAAGTTATTAGAGCAAGACCCCACCATGCAGCTTCAAAAAGACCATAACATGTATTTTGTTAATTACCTTTTTTAAAACTCTTAACAAGAAGTGCTGCACATCTAAATCCCAGAAGAAGCAGTGAGAGGTTTTTTAAGAAATAGTGTCCATGGAAAGTGAGATGCTGCTTTTATCCTAATTTCCTGGCTTTTCATAATTTTCCAGTCTATAGGTCTTACAGGGACAGATTTTTCTCAGGATGTTTCCTTTAAATTAAATTGGAAATACGAATTTATATGCTCAACTCTGGACAAAGATCTAGCAAGCAAACCTATCTGTGCCTGAAAGTGACCTCTGAGGTGCCCAGAGACTGAGTCAGCTCTCAGTGCTAATGTACAAAGTAATTCAAACCAGATGCCAGTGATCAGATAGATTCTTCTGGAAACCAGCCTTGATGGTGTTATTAGAAAAAGCCACAGCTGGCTCTGTTATGAGGGTTCCCTCATGGTAACTCAATAAAATTGGTTAGTCCTAATTTTTAGGCAGCTGTAAGCTAGTAGCATGGCATAAAGCTGCTGAAAGGTAATGGAAGAAAACATCTTCAACACTGTCTGTCCAAAGAGATCTTTATTCAGGAATATGCAAGAGGTGTCTTTTTTATACATAAAGAGCTAATCCACACACCTTCTCCCTTCCTCAGAATGGAGAGAAGAATAATGAGCCTTAAGATATTAGCATTCATTTCATAAAATTACACCAGAAAAGGTTGTCCTCAGAGCTGGCATTTTCAAGGGACACATGCTATAAGGGAAGATGTTGACACTGGGGATAGTTGCCATAGCCTTTTTGAGCCCCACTGAACTTTGACTTTGATTGCACATGATGGAATGGAAGTTAATGGTTCACTGGCTCAAACTGTTGCCCTGCCGATACTGTGCTTTTAACATTTTAGTTATTAAGAGCAAGTCTAGTTGCATTAGCAATATCACAGGAGTGAAGGCAGCAGTCTGGGAACCACAGGGATGTGGGTCCTTAAGGATGCTTCTGGAATTAAAAACAACTGCCTCCCACCGCCACCACTACCGGCACCCAGTTTTCAGCACGATGTGGCTGAATTGAAAAGCTACTGATAATGCTTCAGCCTGCACGTCTGCTCCCGAATATCAAGGACCCCTTGATAAACCCACTGCAATGCCTGGAGCACTTCATCTGCAGGCGACTTGCTCTCTTCAATATGGAGAGGATTGCCACTAATCCTGGCGCATTACTGTTCACTTGACAGAAGTCGCCTGAAACAACTTGCGTCTGTTCTTGTCCTGATTCGCTGTCGGTATTTATTAAGAGCAGTGTGTTTAAAATGGCACACATTGTAGCCTGCAGATAACATCTTAAGCTTCCTGCCTATACCAACAAAAAAACAAACACCCCCTCCCAAGAAAATCTTCTCCAAACATTGTCACGCCCCTCTTTGCTCAGCCATGTTGATGCTGTTGCTTCCTTCCCAAGAGATCCCTGTGAGGTCCTGGTGCAAAAAGCACCTTAGCTTTGGTTTTACTGATCACCATTCCTGAGCTGATGTGAAATGATTTTAAAAACTGAAGTGATAGAAAATATTAACCAGTCAAATCAGTTCTGTTTTCGTGACTTCAGCAGTGAAACGCGTTAAACTCACAGAATCTGTGGTTCTCTACTGACCAATGAGACCTTCATGTTCCTCCCCTTTCTCTCATGACAGAACATTTATCTCCAAGGATGTAGAGATGTAACAGCTGCTCTGAACATTCAATCTTAACCACTGTGCTTAGGAGTAAACAAGAATCATTGTTGAATGCTGAATATGGTGATGGTTATGTGATGTGGGCATTTATTTACCAAGGATATGCTTTGACTCAACACCACTGACTTGTCAAATTTACTGGATCTGCATAGTTTGACTTTTTACATGGCAAAGACTACAAAATTTCAACACACCCCACACCCCCCGTTTCCTTATTCCTACTCTGATTCTGATTTGTGTCTGGACAAGTTTTTAGAAGTATAAGAAGTCCTCTAAGGAAAAAAAAAAAAATTGACTAGTACTAAATTTTGCTTTGCAACATGTATTTTCCAATTTGGAAAAGGCCCTACAGTGTTTGTAGATGAGTTGTTGACTGCCATTTCTCCTAGCTTTTGAGATCTCTTAGTTTCAATATAGTCACAGACAAGGAAACATTATCAGTTTCAGTAGCAGAAAACAGTTCTCAAGCAAACCGTCAAAGAGAATCTAGTTTTCTGTGTCTCCTACACAAAAACTGTTGCTTTTCTGCCAATTTAACTAACATACAGAAAAATAAGTTTGGGAGGAGATGGATAATCAGTTTTTCCTTAAATAAAGAAGCTATTAAAAAACATAAATTATATCACTCTGAGCTTCCTTTACAAGCCTGTGAAGCTTTTCTCTTGCTAAACTGGTGTTTCATTTGTTAGCGGACAAATGTTCAGACTTATCAGGTCCTTAAAGACCTATTTCTTCTATTCTTGGGTGGATACTACGCTCCAGAATTTAGCATCAAAAAAGCTTTTTCTTGCTCTTTTTTGCTCCCAGCACATTGGTCTCATGAAAAGTTTCATCACTTATGTGTGTGAAGAATATGTGTGTATGTGTGAGGATATGCATATGCATCAGTCTAGCATATTTTAAGTAATTTCATATACATATGTATATATATATATATACACACACACACATATTTGTGGAGAGGACATGTATATGTGAAGAGGGAATACAGTCATACCTGGTCTGGGTGTTTCTGTACTTTAGGCAGTGTGCAGATAGAAAGAGGTGTGAATTAAAGAAGAGGGAGTTAATGTACAGGGTAACTCTTCTGATCTCAGTAATGTACTAGATGACAAACCAGTGAAA